GTCCCCACCCAAATCTCATCTTCAATTGTAGTTTCCATAATCCCCCCATGTCATGGGAGGAATCTGGTGGGAGGTAACTGAATTGTTCCTGTTCTCATGAGAGCAAGTGAGCTCTCACGAGATCTGATGGTTTTATAAGGGGCTCTTCCCCCTTCACTTTGCACTTCTCTCCTGCCGCCATGTGAAGATGGATGTGTTTGCTTCCCTTTCCACCATGCTTGTACATTTCCTGAGGCCAGGATCCCAGATGATATTAAGGAATTGTCATTTGTTGTTTTTAGCGTGACAATGGCATTGAGGCTGTGTGAAAAGGGCCCATGCATTTAGGCGCGCACTGGAAGATCTGGGTGGAAGAACACATTGCCGGGGATTTGCTGTGAAAGTCTTCAGCAAAATTAAACAGTAATATGGAGGGGTCCTGAGAAAAGCTGGACGGGAGGACGCTGCCGGCTGTTGAGGCCGGTGCTGGCGCCGGCAAGTTCGCTGTTCTCACATCTGTGTCACTGGAAAATGTCCTCATTACTTACACAGAAGATACTTTAAAATAGGACTGCTGGGACACGTGCTTCAGTGGGAGGTTCCGCTTCCCGCCCTGCAGAAGATTCACCTGGTTGCCCCAGGGCTAAGCCGAGGAAGGAACAAGAGGGCTCACCCCACAGACCTTACAGGGCTTCAGCCCAACCCACTGTCCTGAGGAGGAGGGGGCCTGGCTGGGGACGAGGCTTGGCCAAGGACACACTGCAGGGTGACGCCAGTGCCAGCCACTGAGCTTGCTGAGAAGGCCGAGGAGCAGCCCCGATGTGCAGGGCCCATGGCTGGCCGAGTGCCATCAGGAACTGGGCTGTGGAAGCCCCTGGGGACAGCCAGAAGGACAATCTAGGGGCCTTCAGAGCAGCCCACTCAGTGAGGGGAAGGGACAAGTGCAGGACCGGGGGCAGTGAAGGGCAGTGAAGGGCAGTGGGCGCCGCCCAGGGCAGGCCCAGCCAGGGAGGGTGGTCAGGCTGGTCTGGAGGCCTGAGCCCTGTGTGAGAAAGCCCCACCTGCTGCTTGCGGATGATGAACGGTGGCAGATGGGGGTCTCAGAGCCCTGGGAGCACCAAGGCTGGGCGGGGAGATGAGGACAGCTGGGTTGCGGAAGGTGAGAGGCACAGAGTCCACAGGCGTCTCCACTCGAGCCCCCGTGGGAGCCACTGCACACCCTCTGCATCATTCTAGGGGAAACAAGCCCACAAACAAGTCCCTCCCTGCTGAAACCTGACTGCCTCCTGACCATCCTCTGGTCACGTCTGAACTCCTGGCCCCCTGCTGCCATCCCCCACTGCATCCACCCCACCTGCAGGCTGCTCCCACCCCAGGGGCCTCAGAGGCCAGGGACCAGTGGGTCCCTCCTTGACTCGGCACCCTTCCCCTCCCTGAGTTTCCTGCAAATCGGGAAGCCCCGACCGGCCCTGCCCTGCTGGTGAGGTCCCTCCCCGAGAGCCAGGTCACCTGTCACTGTCTCTCACTGTCCTCAGCCCTGTGGTCTGCGCTACGGGAGGTCACTGTCACGTCACCCAGGCTGAGCATGGCCGTCAGGATTCCTAAGGCAGGGTCAGTGTCCAGTGGCTTCCCTGCGGCTGCAGGCCCAGGAGGGCTGCGGAGTCCATGCCCACACGCTGCAGACTGACCTTGCTCTGGGCAGGACGGCGGAGGAAGTGGCAGGGGGTCCTCTCTGGGCCTTTCTGCAGTTCCTCCTGCTCCATGTGAACCTCCCAGCTGTCACTTGTGCCATCAGGAAGAAAAGGAACCCTGTGTGCCATCTGTCGGGGCCGCAGTCGGCCACTGGGTGTCACTGTTTCCCTGGAGACCAGCACGTTGTCCCCCACAACTACCCCGCCTCCTCTCCGCAGTCCCTGGCTGGCAGCTCCCAGGCAGGGTGGTGACCTCTGACCCCAGACCTGCCCCCTGAGCTCTCCGGTCCTGGCTGCACTGAGAGCTCAGCCCCCTGGGCTCCCTGCTGGTGTGTATGTCAGGCCTGAGCTGCTGTGCCCAGGCCACTGATGTGGGCAGAGCTTCATGGGGTCTCCCAGGGGCTGAGACGTTGGCCAGGACGCCACAGGGAGGATACTCAGGCCAAAAGGCTGGCCGCGCTCCAGCGCTGCCCGGAGCTCTCCCCTCTCATGTGGGAACGGCCGATGTGTGCTGAGTGCCTCACACACGCACGCCTGCACGTTCTGCCTGCAGGTCCCTGTAATCACCATCTTGCCAGGCGTGGCAGGGCCACCTGCTTCTGGAACAGCGGAGGACTGGACTTTCCAGCACACACAGGCTGGGGAACGAGGGGCGGGGCTGCGAGGGGTGAAGCAGAAGCCGCTCCGCTGGCTCGTAGACAGCCATCTTCTCCCTGCGTTTCCACGCAGCCTCCCCCGTCTGTGTCCTAATCTCCTCTTCTTATGAGGACTCAGTCGGGTTGGATTAGGGCCCAGCCTAACAGCCTCGTTAAAGACCTCATCTCCAGATATGGTCACATCCTGAGGGACGGGAGGCAGACTTCAACACATGTATTTTGGATGGCACAATTCAGTTCAAAACGGCCCAGCCCTAGCTGGCGCCTGCCTTCCTGGGCACACCCTCCAGGCTCTCCGCGCTGTGATTTGCCGTTGCTGTAGGTAGAGTCCGTCCTCCCGTGATTCCACAGGGCTCTGGCATAAACACAAATCCTCCCTGTGGCCTCCACACACCCTCTGGCCACCCTGCAGCCTCCCCCCGGCCACACTGTCCTTGCTCTGGTCCTGGCTGCCCCCGCCCCTCCCGCCGGGAGTCCTGCAGGTGCTACCTGGCAGGCCTGGCTGCTCTGGGCCCCACCTTCATGCCCAGATTAACCCTTCTCCCCAGGCAGATTTCAACTCAGATGTGGCTTCAGCCAGAAATCCTTCCTTCCCCTCCTGCTCACTCCCCACAGCGGGCACCTCTCCTCTGAGGCCCTACTGTGTGGTTGTTCACCTCTCCTCTGAGGCCCTGCTGTGTGGTTGTTCACTTCTCCTCTGAGGCCCTGCTGTGTGGTTGTTCACCTCTCCTCTGAGGCCCTGCTGTGCGGTTGTCACCTCTCCTCTGAGGCCCTGCTGTGCGGTTGTCACCTCTCCTCTGAGGCCCTGCTATGTGGTTGTCACCTCTCCTCTGAGGCCCTACTGTGCGGTTGTTCACCTCTCCTCTGAGGTCCTGCTGTGTGGTTGTTCACCTCTCCTCTGAGGCCCTGCTGTGTGGTTGTCACCTCTCCTCTGAGGCCCTGCTGTGTGGTTGTCACCTCTCCTCTGAGGCCCTGCTGTGTGGTTGTCACCTCTCCTCTGAGGTCCTGCTGTGTGGTTGTCACCTCTCCTCTGAGGCCCTGCTGTGTGGTTGTCACCTCTCCTCTGAGGTCCTGCTGTGTGGTTGTCACCTCTCCTCTGAGGCCCTGCTGTGTGGTTGTTCACCTCTCCTCTGAGGCCCTACTGTGCGGTTGTTCACCTCTCCTCTGAGGTCCTGCTGTGTGGTTGTTCACCTCTCCTCTGAGGCCCTGCTGTGTGGTTGTCACCTCTCCTCTGAGGCCCTGCTGTGTGGTTATTCACTTCTCCTCTGAGGTCCTGCTGTGTGGTTGTTCATCTCTCCTCTGAGGCCCTGCTGTGCGGTTGTCACCTCTCCTCTGAGGCCCTGCTGTGTGGTTGTTCACCTCTCCTCTGAGGCCCTGCTGTGTGGTTGTCACCTCTCCTCTGAGGCCCTGCTGTGTGGTTGTCACCTCTCCTCTGAGGCCCTACTGTGCGGTTGTTCACCTCTCCTCTGAGGCCCTGCTGTGTGGTTGTCACCTCTCCTCTGAGGCCCTGCTGTGTGGTTGTCACCTCTCCTCTGAGGCCCTGCTGTGTGGTTGTTCACCTCTCCTCTGAGGCCCTGCTGTGTGGTTGTTCACCTCTCCTCTGAGGCCCTGCTGTGTGGTTGTCACCTCTCCTCTGAGGCCCTGCTGTGTGGTTGTCACCTCTCCTCTGAGGCCCTGCTGTGTGGTTGTTCACCTCTCCTCTGAGGCCCTGCTGTGTGGTTGTTCACCTCTCCTCTGAGGCCCTGCTGTGTGGTTGTCACCTCTCCTCTGAGGCCCTGCTGTGTGGTTGTCACCTCTCCTCTGAGGCCCTACTGTGCGGTTGTTCACCTCTCCTCTGAGGCCCTGCTGTGTGGTTGTCACCTCTCCTCTGAGGCCCTGCTGTGTGGTTGTCACCTCTCCTCTGAGGCCCTACTGTGCGGTTGTTCACCTCTCCTCTGAGGCCCTGCTGTGTGGTTGTCACCTCTCCTCTGAGGTCCTGCTGTGTGGTTGTCACCTCTCCTCTGAGGCCCTGCTGTGTGGTTGTTCACCTCTCCTCTGAGGCCCTGCTGTGTGGTTGTCACCTCTCCTCTGAGGCCCTGCTGTGTGGTTGTCACCTCTCCTCTGAGGCCCTGCTGTGCGGTTGTTCACTTCTCCTCTGAGGCCCTGCTGTGTGGTTGTTCACCTCTCCTCTGAGGCCCTGCTGTGTGGTTGTCACCTCTCCTCTGAGGTCCTGCTGTGCGGTTGTTCACCTCTCCTCTGAGGCCCTGCTGTGTGGTTGTCACCTCTCCTCTGAGGCCCTGCTGTGTGGTTGTTCACCTCTCCTCTGAGGTCCTGCTGTGTGGTTGTCACCTCTCCTCTGAGGCCCTGCTGTGTGGTTGTCACCTCTCCTCTGAGGTCCTGCTGTGCGGTTGTTCACCTCTCCTCTGAGGTCCTGCTGTGTGGTTGTTCACCTCTCCTCTGAGGCCCTGCTGTGTGGTTGTCACCTCTCCTCTGAGGCCCTGCTGTGTGGTTGTCACCTCTCCTCTGAGGCCCTGCTGTGCGGTTGTTCACTTCTCCTCTGAGGTCCTGCTGTGTGGTTGTTCACCTCTCCTCTGAGGCCCTGCTGTGTGGTTGTCACCTCTCCTCTGAGGCCCTGCTGTGTGGTTGTCACCTCTCCTCTGAGGCCCTGCTGTGCGGTTGTTCACTTCTCCTCTGAGGCCCTGCTGTGTGGTTGTTCATCTCTCCTCTGAGGCCCTGCTGTGCGGTTGTCACCTCTCCTCTGAGGCCCTGCTGTGTGGTTGTCACCTCTCCTCTGAGGCCCTGCTGTGCGGTTGTTCACTTCTCCTCTGAGGCCCTGCTGTGTGGTTGTTCATCTCTCCTCTGAGGCCCTGCTGTGCGGTTGTTCATCTCTCCTCTGAGGTCCTGCTGTGCGGTTGTTCTTCTCTCCTCTGAGGCCCTGCTGTGTGGTTGTCACCTCTCCTCTGAGGTCCTGCTGTGCGGTTGTTCACCTCTCCTCTGAGGCCCTGCTGTGTGGTTGTCACCTCTCCTCTGTGGTCCTGCTGTGTGGTTGTTCATCTCTCCTCTGAGGCCCTGCTGTGCGGTTGTTCATCTCTCCTCTGAGGCCCTGCTGTGCAGTTGCTCGGGCCCCTACTCCTGGGCCGGCACACTGGAGCCTGTGTGTTTTCACTGTTTTATTCATGACCATTTACTCTCCTACTATTGATCCAGAGAAGATCATCAATAAATGATGGTGAATAAACAAAAATATGAATTAATGAAGCAAAACCTCAGCACTCTCCCAGGACGGGAAAGGAAGGTTGTCAGCACACAGGGCTCTGACCGTGGCTCTACCCGAGAATCCACGGAGCTGAGGGAAGCCACACTACTGCCTGAGCTGGAAACAGGTGGCTGCACAGGTTTGCCAGGTTCCAGGCTGACGATTCTCCAAGAGGACTCACTAGTCTTCCACTTGTTACAAGGAAAAGACACACACACACACACACACACACACACACACACACACAGAGTGGGTCCTGGGCAAGGCGCGGGGCAGAGCATGGAGGAAACTCACGCGAGCTTCCAGCGTCCTCTCCGGGTGCAGCCCACGGGACGCGCCGTTCCCCAGCACCATGTTATGGTGGCGCGTGTGACATATCCCAACCAGGGAAGCCCTTCAGTGCCTCAGAGCCAGGACTGGTCGTGCTGCACCCTCCACCTGGCATCCCTGCGGGTCCCAGAACCCTGGGAGGAAACCAGGTGCCCAGCAGAACCGCTTGTCTGCACAGACAGCTTAGGCATAGTGGCCCCTCGATCCACCAGAGTGGTGGGGACCCCCAAAATCCAGGAGGGAGCACCCGGCCTGCCTGTCACCCTTCCCTACACGAGGATGATAAACTGCTCTCTTGGTGCCCAGCAGATCCAAAGAAAAGAGATTCACCCTGGAAATGTCTTGGTAAAACATCCCTACATCACTCCGATGCATACGGGTAGCCGGGCTGCCTCTTTAAGCGCTATGAGATGACTTCAGTTGTTTCTTCTTAAAATGTTGTGGAATAGTAGCGACTCATAAACCCACCAGGGCCAGACAGGGCACAGCACCAGTCTGTCCTTTCTGTTACTTTCACTGAGGCCCAAGAAAGTTCTGGTGTTTTTTCCATTCAAATATCAGTGTGTACTGAATGATTTCAACTATATGGACAAAAACGTGGCAAAACAAACATGAGAAAGTGACACACACCTACCGTCGTAAAGTGGGCTCTGGCCAGGCGCAGTGGCTCCCACCTGTAATCCCAGCATTCTGGGAGGCTGAGGCAGGTAGATCACAAGGTCAGGAGTTCAAGACCAGCCTGGCCAACAAGGTGAAATGCAGTTTCTACTAAAAATACAAAATTTGCTGGGCATGGTGGCGTGCGCCTGTAGTCCCAGCTACGTGGGAGGCTGAGGCAGGAGAGTTGCTGGAACTGGGGAGACAGAGGTTGCAATAAGCCAAGATTGAGCCATTGCACCCCAGCCTGGGCAAGAGAGCAAGCCTGTCTCAAAAACAAAAAATGTGGGCTCATCTAAATAGAGGGTTTTAAGTCATTTACTTTTTTTTTAACAATGTATGTTGATGTTTTGAAAGTATTTACAATGAGCACATAATACTTTTATTGTTTTAAAAATCAGTTTTAAAAGTACATCTCAAGTAGGCATCGAATTGATTTTCCTGGGAAAATCCTTGAGATGGGCAAGGCCGCCAGCTTCTCATCGGCATTGGGGCTGAGCTGATTTGTACTGTAGTTTCCCGAGTGTTCTCCTGTCACCAAAACGCCAGGAGTCTGGTCTCGGTCCTGCCGCTCGCCACACAGAAAGCCAGTAAGAACGTTTTAACCAAAGAGGTGGGAGACGCGTCTCAAATCCACTGCCCTGATCAACTGAAACGAGAGGTCTACGTGGCAGAAATGTAACTACATGCAGGAAAACAGGAATTAGAGAGTGAGGAAGAAGAGCTGGCCAGGAGGAAGCAGGTGGCCGGTCAGGCAGCCACGATGGGGAAGGCGCTGGCACCTCTTTGTCTAGATCCGTGACCTTTGAATCTCCATTCCCTCCTACTGCCTGGGAGGGCTGAGGGCCAGTTTCCTGAGGAAAGAATTCAGATAAGACAAATGTAGCTTTCTCAAGTTTTAAGACTGGGAGAGCCAATTTCCATGTTTATTCAAAAGAAACCATCAACATCCGTCTATGGGACAACTGGGCGGGTTTCACTGTGGCAGGTTACACCCGCCGATGCTCATAAAATCCCTGAGATGCAGGCCAGTGTGGGCGTGGACATCCCCCTCCACAGGGCGGAATTCCAGGTGGAGAGGCTCGTGAGTGGGCGCGGCCCGCACACGAAGGAAAACCCAGCTTGATGAGACGCTCTTCTCACTGGCATGATCGTGCCGGCCCCTGCGGAACCACCAGGTCCAGCAGAGCAGCTGGGGCTGGAGCCCTCGCTGAGGGTCACACTCGGGAGGGCGGAACCGGGCAGGGCTGGTGCCTTGCCTGCCATGAGGGGCTGTTTCTAAGTTTTTCTATGAAGAGTCGAGTGTTTTAAAAGTTTTCACAGGCACAGGCACGGGCTGGGGCTGCCGTGGGCACCTGCCTGCCTTCCTCCGGCCACTCAGCCCCCGCCACTGAGCGGGCGGCCACGGGGCACTGCGCGTTCCTGCCATGGTCTGAGCTCCGCACAGCGCCCAGTTCTTCCTCAGAATTGTGTCCTCCTGCAGGTTGGTGTGGCCGAAGAAGCATTCCCACATGTGTGCACGTGCTGGATCAGTCTCAAAAGTCTTAGGAGGCTTCAGAGCGGAAGGAACAAGGAGAGGGTGTCAAAGAGATGCTGGCGACTCTGACAGGCTGGGCACAGGCCAGTGACCAGCATGAAGCTGGAGGGCCCTGGAGAGACGGGAGTTGGCGAGGACGGTGGCCGGCACTCTGTGGCAGCCGGCTCTTGCAGGTGATGACAGAGGCCATCCGTGAACGCAGGCATGAGGAACTCGTGGATGTGCTGCTCCGCTTCCTGAGACCGCAACAGCAAATGACCTCAGGCTGGGTTACGTCAAACAGCAAAAGCCTTTTCTCGCTTATTTCTGAAAGCCGGAAGTCCAAAGTGAAGGTGTTCTCAGGGCCACGCTCTCTGAAGCCTCTGGGGATGGGGGTCCCTCCTGGCCTCCTCTAGGTTCTGGTGGTCACCGGCAGCCCCGGAGTCCTCCATGCAGCTGCACCGCCCTGCTGTCTCTGTGCCTGTGTTCAGCTATCTCCTTTCTCATGCGGGGAACATTCCTGGCTTTGCTCAGGAAGGAATTCGAGAAGCAGCCTGTGGTAGAAGCAAGCAGGTTTGGGGAGGCGGGCAGTGCTGCAGCTCCAGAGGAGCAGGGCACCCCAGTGAACCGCACGTGCGGGGAGGCGGTGGCAGTGCGGCAGCTCCAGCCGAGCGGGGCACCCCAAGCAGTGAGCTGCACGTGCGGGGCAGGGAGGTTGGTAGTCATATTTATACCCACTTTTAATGACATGCAAATGAAGGGACAGGTTATTCGAAGTTGCTAGGAAATGGGTGGCCACTTCCGGTTCTTGCCATGGAAATGGGCCACGGCTTCCGGGCACTGCCATGGCATTGCAGGCTGTCCCAGTGCTGGCCAATGGGCAGTGAGGGTGGCCAGAGGACACCCTCCGTGCTGCTTGCTGCTTTCAGCCTGTCTTCGGTCCAGTCCCACTGGCCTTGACCTCATCTGGGCTCAGGCCCATGCACATCCACTATGCCCTTAGCCTGATCACATCAGCAAAGACCCTAGGACAAGGTCACTTTCACAGGGGTTAGGACTAGGACACACATATTCCGAGGGCTGCAATGCACCCCGCATCCACCGATCGCCGCTGCCATGTGTGGAGGGCGCTGTTTCCCAGCGGAGCTCCCCCATATCCAGAACACCTGCCTCAAGAAGGCAGGGCAGGGCAGGGGTGGCAGACAGGGCCAGCCCCCACAGAGCCTGCGGCCACACCAGCCCGGACAGCCTCCTTGTCAGCTATGCCACTTTCCGGTTCAAATTCTACAGTCACTTGGGAGAAGAGGGTGATAGACTGTAAGGTATGGGGGTGCTGGGGGCCTCCAGGTTGGTGGTGGAAGGTGGGGGTCCCAGGAGCGAAGCCCAGAGACTCCAGTAGTAGGCAGCTGCCCTCTCCCCCAAGTCACCATGGCCACCGCTGCCCGAGTGTATGTCCCTGCTGTGCAGATGAGGACATGGGTTCCAGTGGGACAAGCAGCTGCCAGGACCACAAGGCTGAGGTGGCCCTACCCCACTCAGCCACCTCTAGGAAGGGGCCAGGCCTGTCCTGTCCAACCACACATGGGGTCTCTGCTCACACCTTCCCTGGGAAGGTCTTGAGGGGCGGAGGATTCCTCTCCTCTAGGAACCCAGAGTGAACACCAGGAAGGCAGTGCCAGATCCTACCCACCCCTTCCCCCACCCACCCAACAATGTCAAGAACTCGCCACAGGCAGAGGGGCCGGGGAAAGGAGCCTTGGAGGCCGGCTGGAAATCCTCCATGCCCTGGCTCCTGAGTCCTCCAGCATTTAGGCGGCTGTGCCCAGACTCCCAGGGAGTTGATCCACATGCCCTCACCCCCTGCCTGGAGGACCCTCAGGCTGGCCAGAGTCACATGGGGAGGAGGCAGTGCATCAGGGCAGTCTTGGCCCAGGCGGGAGAGGCCGAGCCAGAATTCTCCACGATGACCCTGGTGACTGTAATGACCCATGGCCCCTGACATCTGCTCTGTCACCCCAGGGGAGAACTCTACCTCACAGATCCAGGGCAGCCCTGCCTCCATATGGCTGGACTCCTGGCATTGCACACCAGCAGGCGGTCCTCACAGGACAGTTTTATGCCTAGTACGAGCAGGGATGCAGCCACAGGCTGAGCATGGCAGGGGCTGTTCCAGGGATGGGGTGGCAGACCCAGGCAGAGCGCTGGACAGCTACCCCAGAACACGGCATCTCATCAGGAGCTACTCAATGGCGTCCGTTCTGCAGGCCCCTCACCTGCCAGAACCAACTCCTGCCATTCAGGCTGTGACCTGGAGGAGGCCTCTGGGGCCGGACACCCCCAGGCACCAGTGCATCTCAGGCACAGGCCCACGGCCCAGGGTCCCGCCCAGCACTTGAGGCAGTGGGTTTTACTCCAATCCTCCCCTTCCTTGGGACCCAGCTGCTGCCTGTGAAAGGGCAAATGCCCCAATGGCCACCTGCAACCTGGATGTCCCAATAGGCTGGTTTCGTCAGGGTTCAATTAAACAGCGCACGGTGGGTTTGCCCGGCAAGTGCCCAGAGCTCCTCGTGACCAGCATGCCACACATCACCTCCCTAGAGCACCTAAGGGCCACGGGCTCGCTACCTTAGTGAGATGGGCTCCAGACCCAAAGAAACTGTTAGCATTATGTCGTATCAGTTATAACAAAACAAGTGTAATTTTTAGAAGAGACTCAGTTCTCAGCCTCACGTCAGGTAGCAGGCCAGCTGGTTCCCCTGCTGACATCATCTGGGGAACAAAGACACCTCTGGGTCTGTCCTCCCCAGGAGGACAAGGCAGGCCGGGACTTCACACCCCGTCCTGGCCCCCTGGGCTGCCGGCCCAGGCCCACCCCAGACCCAGAAAGGCAGGTGACTGAGCGGGCGGTGCCCTCGCCTCCCATTTCACAGCTGCGAGAGGCCGTCCCCAGGGTGCTGCTGCTACCGGCCTTGGCTGGAACGGCCTGGTCACCTGGCCAGGTGGCCCTTATCTCCTGGACTCCTGGGAGACAGAGGTCAGTTGCCTGCCCTGCAGTTCTCTGTCGTCAGTAGCTCCCAGGCTCCCAATAAGCTCTCAGCCTGAGGAAACGCCTTCCCTGGGTGGTTACAACAGCTTCTCCTGGTTACGTCGACTCAGGACGGGGGAGCAACACCTTCTGTTCCGGAACAAAGCACGCAGGCCTCCCTGGCTTTTCGGGGGCTGCCCCACCCACCCTCTGGGACCGGTCAGCCACCCTACATCCAGACCCTCTCTGCCCTTGCACACGCCACGCCAGGCACACAGAGCTACATAAAGGGGTTCCTGCCTCAGGGGGTGGAGGACAGGCAGTCAACAGACGATGTGACCCATGGGGCCAGTGGCCTGACAGCAGCTGAGGACACTGGACAGTCGGGATGACTCCCTGGGGTGCGAGGGGGAGCTGAGCAGACAGAAGCAAGCACTCCCAGCAGAGACACCAACACATGTCAAGGCACAGGCGTGTTGGTTTGCCTGGAGCAGAGGGGAGTGTGCTTGGGGGAGGGCCGGAGGCAGAGCTGGAGAGGCCCCGGGAGCTGGCTGGGGACAGCAGACACCACTGGTGACCATCAGGCCAGCCGTCCAGAGGCAAAGCTCCGTATTTGAGGAATTTAGAAGTAATTAGACTTCCCTATCATCTAAAGTCCCCCTGCTTCCAGGCCTCCTTCCAACCTAAACGTATAAGTAACTAGAATTTCTATAGAGCTCTGGAATGCACGCATGCCAAACTCACTGTGCAACCCTTGCCATCGTTAAGGCACCAAAAACTCTACAGATGCAGCCATTTATCTGCAAGTCGCCCTTCAGCCCCTGCTGTGAGGGCCACAGGTGCTCCTCAGGAAAACTCCCCACAGCACTCAGTCCTCCGGCTAAGGCAGCCACTCCACTCCTCTTTTTTGAGACGGAGTCTCGCCCTGTCGCCCAGGCTGGAGTGCAGTGTGTGATCTCAGCTCACTGCAACCTCCGCCTCCTGGGTTCAAGCGATTCTCCTGAGTAGCTGGGACTACAGCTGCCACGACGCCCAGCTAATTCTTGTGTTTTTAGTAGAGATGGGGTTTCACCATGTTGATCAGGCTGGTCTCAAACTCCTCATCTCATGATCTGCCCGCCTCGGCCTCCCAAAGTACTGGGATTGCAGACGTGAGCCACCACGCCTGGCCCAGCTTTCCTCTTTCAGACCCACACTGTCATTGGTAAATTCTTCTTACCAAGCCGAGAGTCAGCCACTTCCCGACGCTGAGGCTCTGACTCCTTGCCCGGCATCTTGGTGGTGCATATGGAGACCTTACTGGGATTTCTCCTTTCTTTTCCCTCCCTGCTTCCCTTGATGGTCTGGTTCTTTACTCAGGAACTGACGGCCCTGGCAGGAGGCCACTCTTCAGTGGGATCCTGAAGCCCCAGAGAAGAGAGGTCTTTCTATCAGTGCCCTTAGGGGTGAGGAATTAGCCAGGCTTCTTTTTTATTTTGGGGCCGCCAGGGAACCAGCTCGAGTACTCTGGGAATTGAGGGTTTCCAGCCGAGGGCACTGTCTGGTGTGACCCAAAGGCCAAGACTAAAGCGCGAACTTGCTACTGCTGGTTGGGGTGGCAAGTCCACCGTGACGGAATGCCCTGTAACCCGTGCCTTGGACACAGCGGCCATGATCCCCACTCCGCCCAGACGCCCCCCACTGTTTGCAGACCCACTTCCAAATTCCACCTCAGGCAGAACCGCACCCCAAGTTCTGGGGGAGTTCTCCTCCCCCTTAGGTCTGAGCTGACCACTCAAACATGGGCACACCTGGAGGGGTCATCCAGGCAAGGGCAGGCCCTCCAGCTGTGGTGGGCACCCCCAAACAGAGGGAGCCGGAGGGGCGAGGTCCAAGTTCCTCGGGGACACCTCAGGAGTCTTGTACTCCCCAATCTAAACCCAACATGGGCCCAACTCATTCTTCGGTTCCATTGCACTCCCCGTTGGATTGACTTCTTCAAAACTGGTCGAATTTTGACCCACAAAAAATTCTGAAAAAGAAGCATATGGTTTTCTTTTGTAATATATCTCGGGTTCGATAGACACTCCCCAGGACTTTATACTGGCCTCTGAACGGGACCTGGATTGGAATACAGTTTTACAGATACACTTGTTCTGCCAGAGCCTCAGAAAGATTCAGAGGTCCCACGTGCTGAAGTCATTTTGGCTTTATCCCAAAACCCAAAATCACACAAAAATTGTCACATACGCTTCCAAGGAACTTCCTCCATCCCCAATTCTGACGTCACAGATGACCTTCCTTCTGCCCGTCACACCCTCCGAAGCCTGCTCCCGCTCCATCTGCTCCACCCCCTAGTCAGCCCTCCTGCCCCCATACCCAGAGCTTTATCCCCTCACACACTCACACAGGAGTCACAGATGCCACCAGCACAGAGTCCTCAGCAAACCCGTGTTCTTCCTCTCCACAAGATGGCCAATGGAGATGTAGGAACGATGTGAGTTCATGTCCCTTTTCCAGTGTCTGATCTTCCTCGAATCCCAGCTGGGTTCATTTAGCCAGGATCCTACTAAGTTCATTCAAGAATCTGCAGCTTCCATATTGCCTCTGGCTCAACCTGGCGAGACGTATTCATGGTAGTAATTACTTGTTCTCACGAAGAAAAATCACACATACGGTCTTCAGCTCCAGCTGGGGCAGATAAAGTTCATGCTCATCACCGTAACGAGAGCTGGGAAGACTCTGTCCCCAACACAGGACCCACTGGCAATACCAGGCTGCCGAAGTGGCGCAGACAGAGGCAGGGGCAGACAAGGTTATGTCACGACTTGCTTGTTGGAAGGAGTGAAAAAGCCTCTAATAAACCTGTTAATTTTTCTAAACATGAGAAATCACTCAGGAACCATCTGGGAACCCTGCCGTTTCCAAAGCAAGCCTGGTGTGGGCCATGTGTAAACCTGGAGACTCAGACTCCAGAGGTGCTGAGGGCCAGGCCATCCTGGCCTCACGGTTTACGTCAAGCTTCCCTAAGACGTCGGACAAAAGCTCCAGAATCAGAGCAGGGCCCACAGACTCCCTTCCCTGCTTTACCGCACGCAGCCTTTACGGTTTTCCGTAACCAAGAGGAAACATCAGAAATAAGAGAGGCTCCACTGGAGGAGGACACGGCGACAGTATTGGCAGGTTCTTTTCCATTCCTGAACAACCCCAAGGCTTGTCCCTGTAACATTCACAGAACAGGGGCCTGTCACTGTTGCAGGAATCCAGGACACTGGCATAAACAATGTCTCAAACCGCTGGGTTACAAGACGCCTCCAGGACCGTGTCCTCGTTGCTACCAAGAAGGTCACTAAGAGGGGAGGGGCACCTCTTCCTCTTGGCCATCACAGCCACAACCTTGCCAACCTACCCAACAGGATGAGGGCAAGAACTGGCACCTCTCACCCTCTCCCTGGGTGATGACCTAGCCTCTGAAAGCCATCCTCCAGGTGACAGACGGGGCCATGAGGCCGTCCAGGCCCATAGCCTTTCCACCTCTGGGGAGGAGCCTTGGGGAAATCTGAGGCTGAACAAGAGGCAATGTTCCTCAGAGATACGGGGCCAGTTATTCAGTTTTAAACGTTTACTGTGGTCCAGTGTGCCGAGCCTCCATTTCCCTCACGGGCATGGATGGAAAGCCCCACTGAGGCTGTTTCACGCCACCACTCCCTTGTAAGATGAAGGCTCTTCCTTTACTCAGTCCTTTTTAGTCCTGCCAAGCTGCACTGTTCCATTCATAGAGCATGACTTAACAAAATTACAAGCTAATTTATAGCTGAGGCTTCACCTTCTAGCTGTGTTAACTCACACATCACCAAAAGGGCTGCTACAGTCTGTAGAACCTCACTTTCTAAAACACGTGCCATTTGAGGTTTGGGAAACTTCTATTCCTGGCTGTTGAGTATCATCTGCTCCTGTCATCACTTGGCTTAAACATCCCAGTAAGTTCTCCAGAACCCACCAGTAGCCCTTGAAACCAGAAGCATGAGAAGGGCTGAAGCCCCCAATAACCAAAACGGGTAACCCACGGATGCCTCCGCCCATGCAGGTCACCTTGCAACGCTCCACCTTAGCTGTGAAGAAACCAGAGGGCCCTACCTTGGAATGGTTGCTCCCGAAGCTGCTATTCCGATTCACCCTGCTGTCCCAAACCCTCACCCCGTTCCCGGACGGATTCCCTCCGCCACGGCCCCAAATGCCCCAAACCCTCACCCTGTTCTTGGACGGATTTCTCTGCCACGGCCCCTACTGCCCCAAACCCCCACCCCGTTCCCAGACGGATTTCCTCTGCCACGGCCCCTACTGCCCCAAACCCCCACCCCGTTCCCGGACGGATTCCCTCCGCCACGGCCCCTACTGCCCCAAACCCCCATCCCGTTCCCGGAGGACGGATTCCCTCCTCCACAGCTCGGTTTACAGTTCTTCATCTCAAGAATGTGTTGTTCTGCATTCCTTTACACTCAGCCAATTTTTGTTTGCTTTTGAATGGCAAGACCCACATACCTAAATAACTGACAGTTAACTTGGACAGTTCTGCCCCAGGGATTCAGAGATAGCCCCCGCCTTTTAGACGGGCCCTAGTTAAAGACCACCTGTCTTCACTGCTTCTCCCAGACAGCAGCCTCCTCCAGTGTGTCGATGACCTGCTAATCTGTAGTCCTAGCAAAGCTGTTACAGACCAAAGTACAGTATTAGCACCAAACAAACTTACAGATTATCGGTACAAAGCGTCCCCTTCTAAGGTGAAAACATCCACACAGGGCATTCCATTTGGGGTCTTATCTTAACTCGCAGCACAAAGAGCCTCTCTAGCACTTGTAAAGATCTTATCTTAGGCCCAGCACAGCGGCTCATGCCTATAAATCCAGCACTTTGGGAGGCCAGGGTGGGCAGAGCACTTGAGGTCAGGAGTTCAAGACCATCCTGGCCAACATGGTGAAACCCTATCGCTATTAAAAATACAAAAAAAATTAGCTGGGCATGATGGTGTGTGTCTGTAGTCCCAGCTACTCAGGAGGCTGAGGCAGGAGAGTCACTTGAACCTGGGAGGTGGGGGTTGCAGTGTGCCGAGATCGCGCCACTGCACTGCAGCCTGGGCAACAGAGTGAGACTCAGTCTCAAAAATAAATTAAATTAATGAAATTAATTAAAATGTAAAATATAAGATCTTATCTTAAACGTGACAACTCCAGGAACTGAAGAGCAGCTTCGGTCCTGTGAGGGTGTGGCGGGTTTGCCTAGGAGACTCCTTCCTTCGGATTAACAGCCAAGGCTTCCTAAGAAACTCTCCAAGGAGCTGAGGAGCAGCGTCTCACGTGGACTGATAGCATGAAGCGTGCTCTAGAGACTTCAAAGCAGGCTTGACTCTCAGCCCCGGCCTCAGCCCTGCCAGACCTGACCAAGCCTTTCTTCTTGCATGTTCATGAACGAAGGGGAATCGCTTTGGGAGTTTTAGCCCAAGATCTGGGCCCTCTAAGTGCCCTGTAGCATAGTTTTTAAACCCTTCCCTTGGTACCCAGGACGGCGCCCCGCTTATGAGCTTAGCAGCCGTAGCCCTCTTAGTACAAGTAGTCTCAAAACTAACTCTAGGACAAACCTTGATGGTTTTAACCCCACCCCATCAGATCTTGGATATTCTAAATTCTAAGGCCTTCTATTGGATTTCAGATCATAGAATTCATAAGCGCCAATCACTTGCTTTGCAAACTCCTGAACTCTGTGTAAAACCTACGGCTTCTCGTGGACATTCTTGTGTAGAAACTGCTGATCTTACCTGCACTGCTAGGGCTGATCTACAGGACGCTGTGCACAAAGTCCGGGTGCACTGATGGCGGGAGGCTCTTGTTAGGAGAGTGTCAGGCTGTGCCACAGTTAGCCTCACTAACGCCACAGAATCAGGTCCTGCTCAAAAAGCTGAACTAATAGCCCTTGTCATAGCTCTGTAACCGGGCACTGGAATAAGGCCCAAGTGACTTACCCACTGACTCAGCCTGTGTGTGTGTCATGTGATGCACGCCCTCACAGCTGTGGGAAGGAGAGAGGGTCTCTCACAGCCCCGACACCCCCATTCACCACGCCCCTGAAATTTCAACCTTGCTAGAAGACATGTCTCCCAACAGAGGCAGCAAAACCCTTCTCTGTCAGGCTCCTCAGAAAGAGAACTTGCATCCTGCCAGGGGGGATAATTATGCACACAAACAAACTATATCAGCAGCTCAGCTCCTCTCCAGGTGCCCTCATTCCTCACCTGACCCCCCAAAACCCCAGCATACTCCAAACATTACAGAAGGCACTAAAACTGGGTGTCGCCTTCACTCCTGAGGGATGGCCTCGAAACTCTCAAAATAATCCTCTTCCCCAAGGTTCCACAATGGAAAATCCTCTGAAATCTCCATCAAGCTACCCACCTGGGGGCAGAAACTTTACAAGCCTTAATCGACCCTCTTTCTCACAGGCCTGACCTAGCCCCAGCTCAATGGTACATTTCTCAATTCTGCCCAATTTGCTGTCAATGAAATCCTGAGGGTGCAATGAACCCCCTGGCCCTCCTCCAGCCTATTCATGGGAGGACTCTCCCCCATGCCCTCTCATAAGGGATTCAGATACCTCTTCATCTTTAGAGACTTTCACGGGCTGGACTAAAGCCTTCCCCAGTCAAACAGAAAGAACATCAGAAGTAACTACGGCTCTTTTAGAACACGTTGTTCCCCGACCTGGGCTCCCCCATCCCTCCCATCAGACAGCGGCCTGGCCTTCATTTCCACACGTTGTTCCCCGACCTGGGCTCCCCCATCCCTCCCATCAGACAGCGGCCTGGCCTTCATTTCCACACGTTGTTCCCCGACCTGGGCTCCCCCATCCCTCCCATCAGACAGCGGCCTGGCCTTCATTTCCACACGTTGTTCCCCGACCTGGGCTCCCCCATCCCTCCCATCAGACAGCGGCCTGGCCTTCATTTCCACACGTTGTTCCCCGACCTGGGCTCCCCCATCCCTCCCATCAGACAGCGGCATTGACCTGAGCTCCCCCATCCCTCCCATCAGACAGCGGCCTGGCCTTCATTACCTCTGTCCTCCGGGAATCACCGAGACCTTCCACACACAGTGCCACCTGCTGCTGCTACCACCCTCGGTCATCCAAGGCCAGTCTAGCCTTGACAACTCTGGCCACTAGGCTCTCTAGAGAAACTCGGCCATCTTGGGTAACTTCTTCCTATTGCCCTGTTGAGATCTAGAATAACCCCAGAGGTTTCAACCCACCTTGAAAGGGTGAAGAATGTTTGAAATTCGTCATGGATGCCGCTTTTTACAAACAGACCTATTACTTGATCCAGAGGCTCATTATCTGTCCCAACTCGTTGCCTCCCTGGGGCAAACAATCCAGGCCACTGCTGGAGACTAGGACAAATTGTGTCCAAAACCTGATCCCTCCTTATCAGACACAAGCCCTCCTACTAGCCTGGGGGACTGGGTATATTTAAAAACTTTGGGTCAAGACAGAAACCCCTCAGGCCCTCTGGACTGGACCGTCTCCAGTCCTCTCAGTCCCTCCCGCAGCTGTTCGACTGCAGGGACCCTCCCCTTGGCCCACCTTTGCCGTCTGCACCACCGCCAGAACTCCAGCCGGCTCACATTTTGAGCCCTTGGAAGATCTACTCATTTTTGTTTTGCAAACAACCAGGTGACACTTTACCTGAATATGAACTCCTTCCTTTGGATTAATAGCAGAAGCTTCAGGACCAAGGATACCACGTAAGCCTCTTGCTGTCTTTATCATCCACTTTCCTTCCCTCCCTTGTTGTTTCCTTACATATTCCAGAAGGGTTTCGAGATCCTCCACTTTTCTGAGATTATCCTCAATTCACTTACTTTTTCTTGAGACAAGAGTTTCACTCTTGTTGCCCAAGCTGGAGTGCAATGGTGAGATCTGGCAACCTCCGCCTCCCAGGTTCAAGCAGTTCTCCTGCCTCGGCCTCCCGAGTAGCTGGGATTACAGGTGTGCACCACCACAGGCAGCTAATTTTTTTTTTTTTTTTTTTTTTCATTTTTAGTAGAGACGGGGTTTCACCATGTTGGTCAGGCTGGTCTCAAACTCCTAACCTCAGGTGATCCACCAGCCTCGACCTCCCAAAGTGCTGGGATTACAGGCATGAGCCACCGCGCCCGGCCAATTCACTTACTCTTTATCCATTCTCAAGACCGACATGCAATCATTCAGCTTGTCCCAGCTTTTTATTTGCAAGGTGGTTTTTCTGATTATACTTGGAACAACTTTTGTGACCCTCCCTGAATTACAACAATTGTGAGAGGAGAAACTCCTTCGCGTGGCTGGCTTTGCCGTCCACAACCCACCTCTCCAAGCCACGTAGATCCTTCTTTGTAAGCGCGCCCTGTCTCCAACCAAACTGTCCTGCCGGAATTTCACTACTCCTCTCACACCCCTTCCCACCCGACCGTCTCCTGTGCTGCCAAACTGGAAACCCCCTCCAACTTCCCGCTACCACATGACTTCCCTCACCGTCCATACTTACAGTATCACTGAAGCTGCCCTGATTTGCAGTGTTATTTGGGGTATCACCTTGTTATAATGATACTCACAGAGCTAACTTTGACCCATTTGAGGCCTTAGCCTCCTACAATCAAAACTCTGACTCTGCCTGGGAGCAGTGGCTCTCGCCTGTAGTCCTAGCACTTTGGGAGGTGGAGGCAGGTGGATCACCTGAGGTCAGGAGTTCAAGACCAGCCTGACCAACTTGGCGAAACCCCATCTCTACTAAAAATACAAAAAATTAGCCAGGCATTTTTGCCAGGTGGTGGGTGCCTATAATCCCAGCTTCTTAGGAGGCTGAGGCAGAAGAATCACTTGAACCCAAGATGGGGAGGTTGCAGTGAGCTGAGATCGCACCACTTCACTCCAGCCTGGGTGAATGAGTGAGCCTCTATCTCAAAACAAAAAAACAACAAAAAAAAAACCTCTGACTCTCTGAGCACTGCCAGTTTATAAGTGGTTAAACTGGACCAATACAGCAGAGCGCCGGCATACAACACCTCTGCACTCCCAACACCTTCGTGTCTGTTAGTTTACCCATGCAGCCCACACAGGAAAAGTAACCATCGTGCACCTCTTTCATCTCCCACACCACGCACGTGCCGCTTCCTGCTTTTCCACCCCCTCCATCGGCACGTAAGCATATTTCCTCCCATATGGGGCCTCTTAAAAACCGTCAGAAGACCCACTTCCTTTCTTGCCAACATTTTAATCTGAATAATCATCCTGCCTCTCCTGGGCTCTCACGGCTTTGCAGGACTGCCCGGGATGATTTAAACCCTTCTCCGGCTTTGGCCCCGCCCAGCCTTGATCATCCTCTTCACGATGGTGATTGTACCTGGGAACAGCAGCTCCCACCCACATCAGTGTCTTGACATCACTTCCAGCTCAGAATTCTCTTCTAGAAGAAGGGCCCTGGGACCTGCTGTGTGGCCGGAGCTGTGGAAACTGTCGCAACTCTTACACCCCGGGGAGGTTTTACTTACCATGAAACCCTAACGAGAGCCTAGCGCCTCCCTTGAAACAACCTCAGCAAAAGCTGGTACAAGTCTACCAGCACCACGAAAGTCTTCAGACTCGCCGGCAGGCATGGTTTTTGGGAACAGATGCGCTCTGGATGCCTCCTCGCTGAACAAGGAGGGTCTGTGCTGTCATCAACGGGGCCTGTTGCACCGACATTACCACGTCTGGAGAAGCGGACACCGATGTCCAAGGTATCTTCAAACAAGCCAGATGCCTACACACGCTTTCCCAAAGTGACCGAGACTGGGCCGAAACCTTACGATTGGCTTTCAAAAATCACTCGGCTTCTCCCATGCCTTAGACCTTTCTCTCTGTCACTTTTCCTTGACTGTCGGGTCCCTGCCTTTTGAATGCTCTCATTCAGTTTACATGTTGCAGACGACAGCACAATTCCACCCACGGATAGGGCTGCGCTGTCCCAACTCCGGCCTGCAGTGGCGACTCCGTTTACACAGCCTCCCGGGTGGGATCCCGGCTCCCCGCTCCGTGAACGAGTCTCCGTGACCCTCCGTTCCCTTCATGACCGAGAGCAAGGCAGGGAAAACGCGACGTATCCCCCGAACTCGCTTTCAGCGGGAAGCAGCCAGGTGGGCCGGACGCCCCGCTTCCCTGTGCCCTTTCCCTTTCTTGAGACCCGGACATGAGCATGGCGGACATGAGCATGGCGGAATACCGAGGGTCAACCATGTCACCATGTGAGGAGAGCAAACATCACCTGGTGACCATCAGGCAGGCTCCAGGTGGGGGGGGAAACCTCTTTATCTCAGGACTTTAGAAGTCATTAGATTTCCCTGTCATCTCAAGCCTGGTTCCAGGCCCCTTTTCAATCAAAAATTTGTAAGTAGCCAGACTTTCTCTACATCGCCGGAACGCATGCACGCCGGGACGCACGCACGCCTGGACGCACGCCTGAACGCACGCACGCCGGGATGCACGTATGCACGCCAGGACGCACGCACGCCTGAACGCACGCACGCACGCCGGGACGCACGCACGCCTGAACGCACGCACGCACGCCGGGACGCACGGCGCCACCCTTGCCTTGTGTCTATACACGGTGCAGGTTTATTTGCTACATTGAGGCTGGAAACCAAACAGTATCCGAAACAGATCTCAATTAATTTAGAAAGTTTCTAAGTTAACTGCAGCGTCACCCAGGCTGAGGGTGCACCCATGACACAGCCTCCTGGGGGGAGGGCAACCTTGCCAGGGTCCAGGGTGCACCCCGACCGCAAGTGCCCAGGGTGGTCGGGGCTGGGCTTGCTTCTAGAGGTTTCAGGGAGACACGAGGCATCAGTCAACACATGTGACACTGACGCTGGTTCCGTCTGGAGGAGCGGGACAACTTGAGTTTAAACGTATTTCGATGGAAAGAGTGATTACCAGCAGAAAGGAGCATGTGGGCTATGACTCGGGGTTGTGGGGAGCACAGGACACCTCCAGGTAGCGGCCTGGAGAGAGGGAACAGATGGCGGATGCTTCCTAGCAGGCTTGGGGCTGTGCTGATGTTGATGTGTAGACGTGACGACCTGGCCTGAGCGTCTTCCAGGTTCGATTTTAGAGTGCTCTGGCGGAGAGTGAAGCCCATTCACATGGTTGCGGGGGCCTTCACATTTTATTTTTGGTTACAAGCCTTCTCATCAGCTGAGCCAGGGTCAGCAGCTACGGCCCATGGACCCAGGCTGGCCTGCCACCTGCTTTTTTGTAAACAAGGTTTTACGGGAACACGCCCACACCTATGGCAGCGTCTTTGCAACACATCAGCCAACTGGGGGGTGGGGGGTTGTTGCAACACAGACCACAGGGCCTGCCAAGCCTCAGTGACGTGTGCTCCGACCCTTTAGGAAACACTTCTCTGAGTGAAGCTTAGGTTGCCCACCAGTTGCCAATCAAAATCTGTTTGAATCTGCCAGCGACCTCGAAGCCCCCCCAATTCGAGTTGTCAGCCCTTCCAGGTGGAGCCAATGTCTGAGCTAAGCAGGATGGGAGGGGCTGGACTCAGGACTTAGCGGGAAGCGGGGAGGGCTGGGACCAGGACAGCTCTGTGGCACTCTGCTTTTCTGTCAGCCCCGGAGGCTCCCTCTGCCTGAGGGCTCAGCCCCCTGCTGCCTGGCCCTGACCTGCAAGATAACACAGATAAGGCTCAGGGAACAGGAGCAAAAGGCAGGGCCGCCCGGAAGCCCATCCACCAATCCTCATTTCTCACCTCTGTGTCCAGCCCAAGGGGAAATGTTCCAGGCTCTGGCCAAGGCCAGTGCAGCCCTGGGTCCCAGAGCAGCAGGTTGGGTGAGGACTATGGCGTCGCACCAGCTGCTGGTGGCACCCCCCAAGGCCCTGCTCAAGCCCCTGTCCATCCCCACCCGGCTCCTGCTAGGGCCCGGCCCCTCCAACCTGCCTCCTCGAACCATGGCGGCCGGGGGGCTGCAGATGCTCGGGCACATGCACAAGGAGACATACCAGGTAGGATTGGGGGCACTCGGGGGTCTGGGTCTCACCTGTGTTCACACCCCCAGATCATGGATGAGGGGAGGGCTACTGCCTCCCCACCTCAGGGTGCCATGGTCTGTCTGACTCCTCTATCCACCCCCAGATCATGGACGAGGGGAGGGTGTCAGCTGTCTCCTCACTCGGAGAGACAGAGACACTGGGTCTGACCCATGCACCCACCTGCAGATCATGGATGGCGGAGGGGATCAGCTGCCTCCTCACTTGAGGGGCCTGGGTCTCACCCTGTACCCACCACAGATCATGGACGGTGGGGGGATGGTCACTCTCTCCTCACTCTGGCAAGCAGGGGTCTGACTGGTGTACCCACCTGCAGATCACCGATGCGGAGGGCGGTCACTGCCTCCTCACTCGGGGAGGTGGGGATCTGGGTCTCACCCTGTACGCACCCGAAGATCATGGATGAGATGAGAGGGTCACTGCCTCTTTACTCAGGGAAGTGGGGGCCTGAGTCTCACCCTGTAACCACCCGCAGATCATGGACGAGATCAAGGAAGGCATCCAGTACGTGTTCCAGACCAGGAACCCGCTCACACTGGTCATCAGTGGCTCGGGACACTGTGCCCTGGAGGCTGCCCTGATCAACGTGCTGGAGCCTGGCGACTCCTTCCTGGTCGGGGTCAATGGCATCTGGGGGCAGCGAGCCGCAGACATCGGGGAGCGCCTTGGTAAGGAAGAGGACCAGGTGGGGACGGCCCTGGCTCCACCCTTCAAGGCCTCCCTGGCCTCCCTCTGTGTGAAGCTGGCAGCCCCTGTCCCCGGGTGAGCGCTTACCCCCCGTGTGGCCCTTCCCACACGCGCCTCCGGCCAGCCCACTGCCTCCTCCAGGTGGGCTCAGGGAACTTGGGGGCTGGCTCTGACATGCTGGGAACAGCACGAGGGCCCTGATCCCCTGGCCCCCCAAGTGGTTTCTGGAGTGCATGGGGGGGCAGCACTGCAGGGAAGCCCCCAGTCCCAGCATACAGTCCCGAGAGCCCCGGCCGCTGTCCACGGCCCTGGGCAGCAGCTCTGCTCTGTGACAGGGTGGGATTTGGGGTTTCAGAAGCTGAGGCCTCCTCTCAAAGCTTGGCAGCATTCCTTCTGGAACTTGATGTGATCCACAAAATACAGAGGTATGGACAGAGTCTTTGCCTCCTGAGTACACTTTTCTGGGAGAAAATCAGGAGCAGGAGTGTGCCCTGGGTTTAATGACTGATCGTGGATTGAGGGACATGGGCTTGGTCAGCTCCACCATGGCCATGCTGGTTAATGCACAACCTCGACCACCGAGAACGTCCTGACCCCGAGGCCACAAACCTCACAAAAGGAACCAGGTCAGCAGAGGCTGGGACCCAAGGGGACATCCGGCATGCAGGCTCAGATGCCGTGGGTTTATGGCCAGCAGGCCCCTCCCCTGTCCCCATGCTGTCCCCTGAGCCACAGGTTCTTCCCCTCCCACAACTCTGGCTGTGAGTGGCACCCGGGACAGAGACAGAGATGGGGGGGCGGATGAGGGCGTGATCCTCGAGTCCCAGCTCCAACAGAGGGCAAGACTCTGCCTCACTCACCCTCGGCCTTCAGTCTGTCACCCATCACGCCTGTGGGCCTCCTTGTGCCAGCCCTGGGTGCAGCCCCGACCCCTGGGAGCTCATGCTCTGCCTGGGGGGCAGTGGTCAGTGTGGCCTGAGAAAGGGCATTTGAGCTGAGCTCTGTCAAGAGTGCCCCAGGGCCTGGGCTCCAACAGCCAGCAGCCAGGATGGCCCTGGCTCTTCACACGGAGAGATTCTCGCTGGGCAGAGTCCACCCTCCGCTTCAGGCAGGCGGCCAGGGTGCCACGGTGGGCAGGGTCCAGCCCTCACAGGGCCCCCTGCTCACCAGGGCTGATGGTGCCCAACACTGGCTCCTACAGTGTGAGTGGCACCCACACAGCCCGCTCTGTCCCACCCCCAGGAGCACGAGTGCACCCGATGACCAAGGACCCTGGAGGTCACTACACACTGCAGGAGGTGGAGGAGGTAGGGAGGGCATGCTGGCCCAGGGACCGCCGGGAAGCAGCCAGCCAGCGGGCTGGGGTCAGGGCTGGAGGCTGGGGCCCACGGCTGGCCCTCAACCCATCCTAGCATCTGGTGACCAGCTACAGGGGAGAGTTCCATTCCCTGGGAGTGGTGGGAAGACTGGTTGGGAGGCTTCTATCTGGCAAGGAAACTGAGTCAGGAGCCTGGTTCTGTGGGCAGGGCCCGAGGGGCTGGAGGCAGGAGGCTGGGTTGGGGTCAGGGGCGCAGGCAATTCCCGGACACTCAAGACACCCCACCCTGTGGGCTGAAGTCCGCCCCAACCTGCCCTGAGCGGACTCTGTCCCTTCTAGGAACAGGCCTCACAGAGGGGGCAGCAGGCTGGGGCCACTCCTCCCTCTCTGTGCGAAAGTCCTGTTCTTGGAAAAGCTGTCCTCCCAGAGCTGAGATGCCGCCAGCCCCCTCCTCCCATGCACACCATCAGGGAGGGGTTGAGGCATGCCCAGCTGTTGCTCCCTGGAGCTGTGCCACCCGTGGAGGGTGTTTGTGGGGATCCTGGCCCTCGCCCCTGAGCTCCACCCGCAGCTGTCCCCGCTTCTCCAGGGCCTGGCCCAGCACAAGCCAGTGCTGCTATTCTTGACCCACGGGGAGTCGTCCAGCGGCGTGCTGCAGCCCCTTGACGGCTTTGGGGAGCTCTGCCACAGGTGAGTCTGGCTCCGGCGAGGTGGGCTGGAGCCCAGCTCAGAGCCAGGCTGTGGGGAGGGGTGGGCACTGGTCCCTCTGCCCGGGTCCCCACCCCAGCCTCTGTCGCACAGTGTTGGGTGCAGGCACCTCCCAGGTCCTCTTTGCTCTGGGCTGAGTCTAAAAATGAGCCCAGGTCCAGGGGCAGGCTCTGGTGCTCTCCGACCGGGCACCCTCACAGTGCCCACTGACCTCTGTCCCCATGGCTGGAGAGGGCTTGTTGCAGACTTCCATATCCTGCCAGGGCCTGCCCCAAGATTGCCAGGGCACTAAAGCTGCCCGAAGCCCTCCATTTCCCTCCCCTAGCCTCCCTACCCCACACGGGAGTGCACAGGGCTGGGCCTTGAATGGAGTCAGATGGGATAACCTGGGAAATGGGTACAGAGCCCCTTGGTACCCAGCAGTTCCGTTGCAGGGCTGAGCACAGGACAGAGGAGAGGAACTCCACGGCCAGGTCCCAGTCCGGACAGCTGGTGGCCTGGCCGTGTCCGTGAATAAAGCTCGCAAACAACCCGGGGCGGGTGCAGCGACACCCAAGGCTCCCCAGCTGCAGCCAGCGTGAGATACTTTCTGTGTCTTTTTTTTCTTGACAAGAAAACATGTAGGTGGAGGAGGGCGAGAGTGCTGCTGGCCCCGCCCGGCCCTGGCTCTGGCCAGCAGCTGTCGGCAGAGAGTGGCCCAGCCTAGTGCCACCCCGGATCCTGGGGTCCACACAGGCCCTCAGCTGCCTGCCATGCCTGGGGACCCCAGACTGCCCAGCTGACCTCTTCAGCAGCAGTACGGGGCCCTGCAGCTGGGGCCTTCAAGGGCCATGACGCTCCCTTGATCCCCAGCTCCCTCTGCACCGATGCTCAGGGTGGGAGAGGAAGAGCCGCAGGTCCCAGTGGACCCTGACAAAGGCAGGAGAAGGCAGCTGCCAACTCCTGGGTGGCGGCGGGAGGCAGCCCCTTCCTTGCCAGCCTAAGGCTCTGGAGCTACCTCCAGAAACCCCATCCAGGCTGGGGCCCGAGCCCTCCAGAGGCCCCCCGCTTCACCTGGGCCCTCTGTTTTGTCCCCACCCCTCTAGGTACAAGTGCCTGCTCCTGGTGGACTCGGTGGCATCCCTGGGCGGGGCTCCTCTGTACATGGACCAGCAAGGTAAGGCTGTGCCCCGGGGGCCTACCCTGCTTGAGCCGCCTCAGGCTCCACATGCAGGAAGCCTGGCTGGAGTGAGGATTCCGCCCCATCTCCACCTGGCCTGGGGGACACTCGCTGCTTACTGGGGCAAGAACGGCTCCAGAAACTGCCTGGCACCACCATGTTTCCACTTAGCTGTCAGATCCAGGCATGGGGGCTGGCGGGAGGGGCAGCTTCTGGTGGGGGACATTTGAGAGGCCCCAGAGCTGTAGTGGGGGCGGTGGGAAGAGCAAGGGGCAGGGCTCCAGCCAATCAGGCCTAGGAGACCCCTCTGCCCAACCCCCAGAGGCTCCGTTTCTCATCCACCCCAAACCCTGCCAGGCTGTCCAAAGCAGTGAGCACCTCTGTCAGGGTCACCTTGCAGGGAACCTCAGCCAGGCTGGCCGAGGGACCGAGGGGCCTCCCGTGCCCAGCCGCTCTCTGGGGAGAGCCTGCACCCCACACCACCGAGCTGCCCCGGCCCACTCCACAGAGCCTGTCTGTTTCCACAGAGCTCCTCCTGATTTGGGAGTTTTCAGGCAGGGAGGAAGGGATTTCTGGGCTGACCCTCACACTACTACTGAAAGCAGGGACCTGGGGAGGAGCCCAGGGGTGCAGTGCGGGGGAGGCAGGGCTGTCCCTGGGGACGAGCACAGTGGAGGGAGAAGCGGCGCTGAAAGGCTCAGGGCCGAGGTCATGGCTGCCCTTCAGCAGTGTTGAGATTGGAACCCAGGACTCCCTTCTGCGTCTCCCCACCATCGTGCACGGATTCTTGGTGGGGTCGTAGCCCTCCCGCCTGTTAGCGAGGCCGGCACCCTGCTGGACTGGCCTGCCATGGGACAGGGTCCCTGTCCCGAGCGAACCTCCCTCCTACAGGCATTGACATCTTGTACTCGGGTTCCCAGAAGGTTCTGAACGCACCTCCAGGGACCTCGTTACTCTCCTTCAGTGACACTGCCAAGTGAGTGACCCACAGCCCCTCACCCCATGCAGGGCTGCGCTTGCAGGGAGCTCAGGGGGCCCGAGGCGGGAGGGGCTGGAACCAGGCAGGAAGGGCTCCCCAGTTCTGGGAGGCCACAGGCTCTGCATTCACGGGGAGTGGGGAGGCCGGATGAGGGGAGGACCAGGGGTGGTGCAGGGTGCAGAGTCTGGCACTCCGGCAGTTCCCAGCTTCACACTAAGGAGTGGTCCGGAAAGGACTGGGGGCCTGTGGCCCAGCGCCCCACACAGCCTTCACCCTGGCTCAGTTTTCAGGGGTTGCCCCAAGGGACACATGGGCCACACACAGTGTCCCCTGCCATCCTCATCTCACCTCCCATGCTAGTGTCCAGATGCTGAGCCAGGCCGGGCAGGGGGTGGGGGAAGGGGGCCAGGCCTCGAAGGCAGTTCTCATCCAGCTGCAGCCTGGCAACAGGAGGTGCCGGTCCCCAGAACAGAGAGGACTTTGGGGTGATGTCAGGAATTCGGTGTTGGAAGGGGAGGTCCGAGGTGCCCGCTGGACCACAGGGAGGGCCAAGGGGGCAGCTGGGTGTGTTCAGGAGCCTGAGGAGAGGCCCAGGCTGGCTGGTCGACCTGGAGTTGTAGAGACAGACACATTTCAAGTTCCAAGCCTGGCCTGGGGGCCTGAGAGCAGTCACCTTTGGGTGATGAGGGAAATGAAGGCTGACCCCGTGGGAGGGGCTGGGGGAGAGAAAGGGGTGCACAGAGTAGAGGGAGCCTCAGGTGCCCCCTGGTGGGGTCACACCCACGTGGGCAGAGGTGCAGGCTGGGCCCGAGGGCCAGCAGGACTGGACAGCTGAGGGTCCCGCGGCCAGCCTGGTCCCACACTGGCCCCTGAGCACAAATGCAGCTGGGCAGGCCCTCCTGGGAGCCCTGCCACGTCTCACTCCTGTGAAACAGGACGGCTGACAAGACCGCCTGGCCTTCACCCCAAACTGAGAGGCCGGGGCTCAGGCGGCTCCTTCCTCCCCAGGAACAAGATCTACTCCCGCAAGACAAAGCCGTCCTCTTTCTACCTGGACGTCAAGTACCTGGCCAACCTCTGGGGCTGTGACGGCCAGCCCAGGATGTGAGGCCCAGTGGGGACGGGAAGGCGGGGTGCTGGGCGTGGCTGAGAGGTGGGGGCCGACCTCTCTCTGCACTCGGGGATTCTCCAAGCCCCCCACCTTCCTGCCCCATGAACCCCAACTAGAGCCCCAGAATTCACCTGCACCAGGCTACCAAATACCCCACCCAAGGTTCCCCCATTCCCCGGCCCAAGGCTCTGGGCAGGTGTGTGGCCCCCAGACCCTTCCGAAAACACTGTTCTCCCCAGAAGTCCCAGCGCACCCTCGGGCACTGTTGACCTGACCCTGCCATATCTCCCCACTCCCAGGCCTCAGTTTACTCCCTCTCAAAAGACGACCTTGGCCATAAACCCAAGGCCCCTTATGCTACACACAAGGACAAGGCATCAGGAATGGTGCCCTAGCCCGGTGGGCATGGAGGGTCATTGCCAGCTTCTCAGGCACGCTGGGGCTGAGGGGCGGGGAGGTGCTGGCGCGTGTCTGTTCCTGCAGCCGCCCACTACATCCTAGCCAGCCCCCACACCAAGCCGTGCTCTCCCTGGCAGACACAGCTGCCTTCTCAGCCCAACGTTCTGAATCCAGACAGGGCTTCTGTGGAGAAGGCCAGCCTATGGTCAGAGAGCCTGTGCTGTCGGGGCTAGGGCAGACAGAGCTAATGCCCATCTGCCCCCGACCCCGCCCATGGTGCCAGACCAAGCCCTTCATGTCTTCCAGGTACCATCACACGACCCCTGTCGTCAGCCTGTACAGCCTGAGAGAGGGCCTGGCCCTCCTTTCGGAGCAGGTGTGCAGACAACACTCCCACCGGAAGAGACAGGGCCACCGGCTGGACTGCCGAGGGCGCAGCCCGCAGAGAAGGAAACGTCCCTGGTGCACGGAGGGAAGGGAGCCTGCCAGGGAGGCCCTCCATGGGGTGGGGGAGAGAGGACAGGGCCCCGGGTACACTGGCCATGGGCACGGCTGGGAGGACAGAGCCCCGGGGACAGAAGCAGCAGTGAGGCAGGTGTGGACGCTCCATCCCTTCTGTTGCTGTGTGAAGCAGCGAGTCAGGCCTGGCGAGCAGGTGGGCAGGAGAAGCGGAGGCCAAAGTGAGGGGTAGGCCGGTCCTGTAGTCTGGCCCAGCTCCTATGGCGGGGCGAGAACTGAGCAGGCGCGACTGGCTGTGACCAGGGGTTGATTTGGCCACTGCAGCATCCACAGTGTCAGCACAGAGGTCCAGTGGCTCTGCAGGACACGGGACAGGAAGCCCCACCTACTTTCATCTGGTCCTGTTGTCCCGTGGGGCCCATCGCCAGCCCCCAGTCCAGAGTCCAGGGAGGGTCCCTGGGCTGCAGCCAGCTTCCCGTGAGGTTGCAAGGCGGTGCCTGCCACATTGGCCTCCTGGGTCCGCTCATAAAGCCACTGCCTAGGGCTGGGTTAGTGCCGGGGTGCCCCTGTAAGCCAGATGACACCCACCCCCCTCGGGAAGGCGAGGCGCTGAGCTCTCACACAGGGAAGGGCTCTAGGGTGGTAAAGGTGGGTGGGGCTGTGAAGGAAGAGAGCAGGACTAGACGGCAGGGCACAGGGCGGCAGCGGGCTCGGGGACCTGGCAGAGTATGGATTGTGGGGTCACATGCACAGGGAAGATGGGCCAGGTAGCCAGAGGAAAGAGTACCTACTGCCCCAGGGTCCCACCTGGGGTGGCCATGGGAGCTGGTGGCTGGAGGCCGGGAGGACCTGTGACCAGAGGTGATGGCACTGAGAGGCCCAGGGCTGCAAAGACCACCCCTCGCCTGTCCAGAGCTGAGGCAGGAGCTGGGGAAGCCGGGACGCTGAGCCCTGGCCCTAATCCATCCCAGCCCTGTGTGGCCCAACAGCCCCTCCCCACCTCCCCACCCAACTCCTCCCTGCTACAAGGTGCTTCCCCTCCTCTCCCCCAGGAGCCACAGGCAGAACCCCCCACCCCACCCCCCACCACTCTCTCCGACCCAGAGGTTTCCTCCTGGCCCTGGGGTAGTCCCAGCCTTTGCCTCCATGGAAATCTAAACTGGGGGGTCCGGAGGCTCCCCTGCACCAAGGCCTGTGAGTCAGGCTCTTCCTCCTGCGCCGCAGAGGGCGGGGCTTCCTGCCCACCGCATCCATGCCACTGCCCACCGGTGCCATCTCCCACGCAGGGCCTGGAGAACAGCTGGCGCAAGCACCGTGAGGCCGCAGCGTACTTGCATGGGCGCCTACAGGCTCTGGGGCTGCGGCTCTTCGTGAAGGACCCGGTGAGGAGGCCCCCGCAGTGGGCAGCCCTGCCCCCATGGGGAAGGATGAGGGGCTCTTGCCCAGCCCCCTCAGTGGGGATGCTGGGTCCTGAGAAGGAGGGGCAGCTGCCCAGTGGTGTGGCCCCAGGGCCAGGGAGCAGTCACAGCTCCTGGCCTCCACTGCTGGGTCTCAGGACAGCCTGTGATCTCCCAGGGGGAGGTTGCCCATCCCCTGCCGCCTCCTGAGAGGAAGGAACCCATTTCCCTCCAGGCCCTTTCTCCCCCTGGCCCCTCTGGAACCTGAAGCTGGGGCAGATGGCCCTGGCCAAGAGCTGTCACTCGGGCCGTGCAGGGCCTCTCCCCCACTGCTGAGCAGGCCCCTCCTGCAGGCGCTGCGGCTGCCCACGGTCACCACTGTGGCTGTGCCCACCGGCTACTACTGGAGGGACATTGTCAGTTACCTCATAGAGCGATTTGGCATCGAGATCACCGGTGGCCTTGGGCCCTCCACGGGGAAGGTGAGGGGACACCTGGAGGGCCTTTGTAGAAACCAAATCTGACACCCCTCCTCGGGCAGGATTGTCACCAGGTCCGGGGGAGGCCGGGTCCTCCTAGAACCCAGACAGGAGCATCTAAAACGGTGCTGCTCTCCAAGGGGTATCCAGACAAAGCGAGTCCTCCCGCCCTGCTCCCACCCAGCCTGCTGAGGTCACCTCATTAAGGGTACAGCCTTGATGATTCCACTTGGAACACCCTTAAGTCCTGCGCCTGTGCCCACGGTGTCTCTGAGCAGCAGTGTGGACGGGCCTCCAAGGCACCACCCACCCTCCCACATCTCTGTGGGTACAGAGGGAGGAGAGCCTGCCCTGGCCTGGTGTTTGGGGCCTCCTTGGTGGCCTGCACGGGGCTCTCGGCTCCCCTCGTGGACACTGGGTGGGCGGTCCTCACTCAGGTGAGCCCATCCTGGCTCTGGCCAGCCCTCAGTTAGGGTCAGGCGGGCTGCAGGCAGGAGGCTGACATTGGCCTGGCCTGTGTCCACCCCCCACCAGGTGCTGCGGATCGGGCTGATGGGCTGCAATGCCACCCGAGAGAATGTGGACCTCGTGACAGAGGCCCTGAGGGAGGCCCTGCAGCACTGCCCCAAAAAGAAGCTATGACCTGTCTGCTGGCACACACCTGGCCCACACCCCCCCCCGAGGGGTCAGGACGAAGCTGTGACCTGTCTGTTGGCACACACCTGGCCCACACCCCCCCCGAGGGGTCAGGAGGAAGCTGTGACCTGTCTGCTGGCACACACCTGGCCAACGCCCCCCGAGGGGTCAGGAGGAAGGTGTGACCTATCTGCGGGCACACACCTGGCCCACAACCCCCCCCCAGGGGTCAGGAGGAAGCTGTGCCCTGCCTGCTGGCACACACCTGGCTCATGCCCCCCTGAGGGGTCAGGACGAAGCTGTGACCTGCCTGCTGGCACACACCTGGCCATGCCCCCCTGAGGGGTCAGGAGGAAGGTGTGACCTGTCTGCGGGCACACACCTGGCTCATGCCTCCCCCGAGGGGTCAGGAGGAAGGTGTGACCTGTCTGCTGGCACACACCTGGCCACGCCCCCCTGAGGGGTCAGGAGGAAGGTGTGACCTGTCTGCTGGCACACACCTGGCCACGCCCCCCTGAGGGGTCAGGAGGAAGGTGTGACCTGTCTGCTGGCACACACCTGGCTCATGCCCCCCCGAGGGGTCAGGATGATCAGGAGCAAACAGACCCTGCAAGGTCCCCCAGGCCTGGGGGCAGGAAAGCTACTGACCCCACCTGAAAGGCAGGATCAGGCAGCCTCCCAGCCCCAGCCAGCCCTTTTCCCTCCAGTGGGCCCTCCTGGAAACAGCCCACTTGGGCGCAAGACCCAGCACCTTCCAAATGAGCCACAGTCCCCCAGGCCGTGAGCCCTCCAGGAATGTGAATAAACAGCCTGGCCGCTCTCCTCACCGTGTGGGGTGGTCAGTGAAGGAGTCTGAGAGGAGCCCATCCTGCTCCCTGAGCCCCCTGAGTATGGACTTCGGGGGACACCCTCATCCCGGAGCCCACTTGGCAGACCCTCCCCTGGGGGTGCTGTCACCACACTCTGGCCCCAGATGTCACACCCCCTGACGTCCTCACACACCACCTCCAAGGGAACCCACATGGCCCTCGGGACTAGTTGGAGACCTCACTCGTGGGTAAGGGCACCTGCGTGCTTGAGAGCACACAGCCAGGACCTGAGCCCACACACCGAGAGGCTGGTACCCTCAGTCCACGAAACCCTGAGACCCGCACCCTCAGCCCCCAAGACTGTGAGGCCCACACCCTCAGCCCCCAAGACTGTGAGGCCCACACCCTCAGCCCCCAACACTGTGAGGCCCACACCCTCAGCCCCCAACACTGAGGCCCACACCCTCAGCCCCCAAGACTGTGAGGCCCACACCCTCAGCCCCCAAGACTGTGAGGCCCACACCCTCAGCCCCCAAGACTGTGAGGCCCACACCCTCAGCCCCCAAGACTGTGAGGCCCACACCCTCAGCCCCCCAACACTGTGAGGCCCACACCCTCAGCCCCCCAACACTGTGAGGCCCAAACCCTCAGCCCCCCAACACTGTGAGGCCCAAACCCTCAGCCCCCCAAGACTGTGAGGCCCAAACCCTCAGGCCCCCAACACTGTGAGGCCCACACCCTCAGGCCCCAACACTGTGAGGCCCACACCCTCAGGCCCCCAACACTGTGAGGTCCACACCCTCGGGCCCCCCAACACTGTGAGGCCCACACCCTCGGGCCCCCCAACACTGTGAGGCCCACACCCTCGGGCCCCCCAAGACTGTGAGGCCCACACCCTCAGGCCCCAACACTGTGAGGCCCACACCCTCGGGCCCCCCAACACTGTGAGGCCCACACCCTCGGGCCCCCCAACACTGTGAGGCCCACACCCTCGGGCCCCCCAACACTGTGAGGCCCACACCCTCGGGCCCCCCAACACTGTGAGGCCCACACCCTCGGGCCCCCCAACACTGTGAGGCCCACACCCTCGGGCCCCCAACACTGTGAGGCCCACACCCTCGGGCCCCCCAACACTGTGAGGCCCACACCCTCGGGCCCCCCAACACTGTGAGGCCCACACCCTCGGGCCCCCCAACACTGTGAGGCCCACACCCTCGGGCCCCCCAACACTGTGAGGCCCACACCCTCGGGCCCCCCAACACTGTGAGGCCCACACCCTCGGGCCCCCCAACACTGTGAGGCCCACACCCTCGGGCCCCCCAACACTGTGAGGCCCACACCCTCGGGCCCCCCAACACTGTGAGGCCCACACCCTCGGGCCCCCCAACACTGTGAGGCCCACACCCTCGGGCCCCCCAACACTGTGAGGCCCACACCCTCGGGCCCCCCAACACTGTGAGGCCCACACCCTCGGGCCCCCCAACACTGTGAGGCCCACACCCTCGGGCCCCCCAACACTGTGAGGCCCACACCCTCGGGCCCACCAACACTGTGAGGCCCACACCCTCGGGCCCACCAACACTGTGAGGCCCACACCCTCGGGCCCACCAACACTGTGAGGCCCACACCCTCGGGCCCACCAACACTGTGAGGCCCACACCCTCAGCACCAACACTGTGAGGCCCACACCCTCGGGCCCACCAACACTGTGAGGCCCACACCCTCGGGCCCACCAACACTGTGAGGCCCACACCCTCGGGCTCACCAACACTGTGAGGCCCACACCCTCGGGCCCACCAACACTGTGAGGCCCACACCCTCGGGCCCACCAACACTGTGAGGCCCACACCCTCGGGCCCACCAACACTGTGAGGCCCACACCCTCGGGCCCACCAACACTGTGAGGCCCACACCCTCGGGCCCACCAACACTGTGAGGCCCACACCCTCAGCCCCAACACTGTGAGGCCCACACCCTCAGCCCCCCAACACTGTGAGGCCCACACCCTCAGCCCCCCAACACTGTGAGGCCCACACCCTCAGCCCCCCAACACTGTGAGGCCCACACCCTCAGCCCCCCAACACTGTGAGGCCCACACCCTCAGCCCCAACACTGTGAGGCCCACACCCTCAGCCCCAACACTGTGAGGCCCACACCCTCAGCCCACCAACACTGTGAGGCCCACACCCTCAGCCCACCAACACTGTGAGGCCCACACCCTCAGCCCCCCAACACTGTGAGGCCCACACCCTCAGCCCCCCAACACTGTGAGGCCCACACCCTCAGCCCCCCAACACTGTGAGGCCCACACCCTCAGCCCCCCAACACTGTGAGGCCCACACCCTCAGCCCTGCAGCCACTCGACCCTCAGATATGTGGCTCCCACCCCTGCTCAGCTCCCTCTGGCCGTTGATCCCTGCCCCACCACTCACTTCCTAGGCAGCCCCCCAACCCCGCCAGCCCTGATCTCCTTGGGACTGAGGTGGGGGCCTTCAGCAGCCACACCCACACACACATTTCCAGGTCCTGGCTGGCCCCAAGGGCCCCTGAAAGAAGGCCGGGCAGGGTCGCTCCCTTGCTGAGGTGGGCACCAAAGCCCTCTGTGTGGCGGGGCTGGCCTGGCCCCATCCTTGACACTTGTGGGTGCCACTGGGCATAGTTGTGTGCACTGAGACAGGGTCGGAGGGAGACAGGAGGCCATCTGCTCCAGGGCACCGGCAGAGATGGGCACCAATGGGACCACACACACTGACCCATCACAGCTGTGATGATCAGAGGGGCCAGAGAGTCTGGAGCTCAGAAAGCCAAGTGGGAAGGGCCTTAGGAGGAGGCCAGTACATTCAGGGCCACATGGACTACATTTGAGATTTTGGTCTTTGTCCAGAGAGCAGCCCTGGCTTGCTCTGGTGTCCCCAGAAACAGATACTGAGGCCAGAATTCAAGTACAAATCATTTATTTGGGAAGTGACCCCAGGAAGCCTCCAGTGGAAGATCCCCTGTGCTCCCACCCAGCCAGTGCCCACCCCTCAACTGCCTCACCTCTGTGATCACATATCAGCCTGGCATATTTCAATTTCTTTTTTTTTTTTTTTGAGATGGAGTTTCACTCTTGTCACCCAGACCAGAGTGCAGTGGTGCGATCTCAGCTCACTGCAACCTCCGCCTCCAGGGTTCACACAATTCTCCTGCCTCCGCCTCTGGAGCGGCTGGGATTACAGGCACGCGCCACCATGCCCAGCTAATGTTTGTATTTTTAGTAGAGATGGGGTTTCACCATGTTGGCCAAACTGGTCTCAAACTCCTGACCTCAAGTGATCCTCCTGCCTCCGCCTCCCAAAGTGCTGGGATTCCAAACCTGAGCCACGGTTGAATTCATGTTGGTGGAACACACAGCATGCCCTCGGCTGTGCCGGCCTCTTTCACCTGCTGTTTCTGACACGCACACGTGCCGGCTGTCATGGGCGTCCGTGTCTTCGCTGCTGAGTGTCGTCTTGTCACGTGGATCCATCACGATGTGTCGGTTCATCTACCACAGATGAGCATCTATGTTATTTCTCAGTGGGCTGTTGTGAATGAGGTCGTGGTGGTGAAATTCTCACTCAAGCTTTTGGGTGGCCACATACGTTCACTTTTCGTGGGTAAATAACTGGGGTGGCATTGCAGGGTCATACGCTGGCTTTTACCTTAGGAGAGACTGTCCACGGAATCTCTGGAGTGGCTGTCCCGTGCTTCAGCCACGCACAAGCGTCCCAGGTGCTCGCGTGCTCACCCGCACTCGGCGTTGTCTTCTATTGCTGGGGTGTAAAGTCGGGCCTGACGTGGGTGTAGTTTGCACTTCCCGATGCCTGTCGATGTTCAGGATCTTCTCCTGTGCTGTCAGCTGTTTGAAGATCTTCTGAAAAGTGTCAGTTCAAATACTGTGTTCATATTTGGACTTTTATCTTTTTACTGTTGACGTGTGGTCGTTTTTAAATAGATTCTACATACTATCAGGTATGTGTTGTGGCCTGAATATTTTCTCCCACTCCGTAGCTTACCTATTCCTTTTTTTTCTTTTTTTTTGAGACAGAGTGCAAAATGGTGCTATCTCAGCTCACTGCAACCTCCACCTTCCTGGTTCAAGAGATTCTCCTGCCTCAGCCTCCCGAGTGACTTAGGATTACATGTACGCGCCGCCACACCCAGCTAATTTTTTTTGTTTTTTGGTAGAGATGGGGGTTTTGCCCTGTTGGCCAGGCTGCTCTCCAACTCCTGACCTCAAGTGATCTGCTCACCTCGGTCTCCCAAAGTGCTGGGATTACCGGCATGAGCAACCACACCCGGCCTACCTATTAAAGAGCAGGTGTTTTCCATTTTGGTGAAGTCATATTTACCAATGAGCTTTCTCTTACTACACAGCCTTGCCTTCCCCGTTGTTAAAAGTCCGTCGACTGCATGTGCGTGGTCTCTTCACGGCCTCTGTACTGTTTCACGGCATCCTCATGTCAGTCCCGTGCTGTTTCAAATATTGTACCTTGACAGTAAGTCGTGAACTTAAGAACAAGTCCTCAAACGTTTCTCTCCCTTCCCAAGGTTTTTCGGATCCTACATCCTTTGAACTTCTGTGTACGTTTTAGACACATGTATCTATTTCTTCAGAATAGCTTGCTGGAATCTTGGCAGGACCTGCACCAAATCCGTCTAACACGTTGAGGAAAATGGAAATAAAGTATAAATTCCATTTCATAAACATAAATTTAAGTCTTGTTAAATTACTCTCAGCTATGTTTCTAGTTTTCAACATACAGCGAAGTGAGAGGAGGTTCTTCAAGGAAAACCACTGACCCAGCCCAGGAGGCAGGACCAGGCAGCGTCCCCGTCCCCCAGGGGCCCTGTCCCTCCAAGTGGGACCTCCTGGAAACAGCCCACTTGGGTGCAGATCTTCTGTTAGATTTATTCCTAGGTTTTTTATGTTTTTGATGCCATTATACATGGCATTTGAAAAAATTTATTTCCAGTTGTTTATTTTATTTTATTT